CTAGAAATGAAGAAGTTCACAAAGCAGAAAAATAATTTGTAAATTTTACTTGAGAAGTAGCCCACTTTACAGCGGAATGAATCATCCTTCAATACTGATGTAAATCATTTTCCGAACAAGTAGCAAAGCTTATTTTCAGGACTTTCGACGCAGGCAATGATTTCGTTTCTAGCAATATAGACAAAAGAATCTTACGCATTTCAATTGCGCAAGCATGCATGGAGGAGATAGGACGAATTTACTACCTCAAATTTAATTAAATTCTCAGATTTCCTTTTTTGAAATGATTCTTGAGACTTTTGACGAATGCAAACCTTGTGGAAAACTTGAGGGATTCGTCATATTTACTGTCATTTATGTCCCTCACTGTTCTCATACATATTCGCTGAGATTATTTCAAGTTATAACTAGAAATTTTGATGCTTACTCTATAAAAGTTCCGTCAATTGAGATTTCGTAAAATTTCGGTTGTAATTATAACTCTTCCTTATTACCGGTAACAGAAGAAACTTAGCGAAATACGTATCATTCTAGATGAAGCAAATTTTACCAGCAAGTTTGGAGAGACATATCTAAGTTCAGGTAACCCAACCAGCTGGATCTTTGGAATAAAACATACATAGCGCTACTCATTTTGGATTTGTTTGCCGTAGAGTACTGCTCATACTGATCATTTGGATGTGCAAGATGCTTTCAATATAAACCTGCATGATCTAAGGATGTAGTTCATTTTGCAAGTTTTATTCGTTCTAGAGTGAATCTTTGTTCTCTGTGCTGCAATTAACTATCCAGTGCGACACCACAATGAAGTTTTAAACCTACCAGTGGGGATCCCCCATCCGGAAAGGCAATTGCGTGGAGGAAGGCACCGACGAGCAACCCGAGCACAAACATCAGGAAAGCTGTCAGAACCGCAACGAAGACTCCAGCCGACGAATGTCGAGATGCCGGTGCCGATGACCACGTAGCTGAAAGAAATTTCTCTGAATGTCCAGTACTCCAGTAAGGTCGCTGTTGTAAGCTAAATTTGGTTTCGGTTCCATAAAATGGCATATTAAGCTGATGCAGACCCGCTTCTCTGTAGAGGTGAGTTTAGTGGTCTATCATAGACTAGAAAGACAGTCCTTGAACTAAGTATGTGCCGATATACTTCTGCTACCTACTGTAGATTGTGTGAAAATTTTCCATTTACGTATTTAACCCTAAAAAAATTTAATTCAAAGTTGCGAAAACATTCTGCTTATGAAGGGTTCCCTTTATGCTTTTTTCTTCAATCAAAAGTTTTTTTTTTTGAATAGAAAATAAGATCAGAGGAATAAGAACGTTGTGAGAGATGCATAAAGGTAAACACGTGGTTATTCTCTTACTATTCTTCATAC